TTGGGCCACAAAACCTAAAGTAGGTACTATCTGCCCCTTTACAAAAAAGTCTGCCAATTTCTGGTGTGACTGAAATAAGACTGGCCATGGTTGGTAATTATTGAATCTGACAGAACAGTACATGGGGATTCAATATACCTTCTTTCTACTTTGGGATGTTTAGAATTTATCATAATAAATATTAGTGGTAAAAAACTTATCATTAAATATATTGAAAAATTTTTCTTGAAAGATATGCAAGCAAGTTCAATCCAGCCTCATAGAATGAATAGTTTCTATTTTATATAAACTGTACCAAAGCTCAGAAAAAAGTGGTGAGCTTCCCAACTATTTATTAGGGTAGTCTCACCAGAATATGAAAACCAACCAAAAAAGCCCGTTAAAAAAAACTGAATTAAATCAAAGGTCAAATGTCACTTATGCAAACAGATGGACAATTACCTAAAATATTAGTAAATCAAATTCAGTACTTTATAGAGAATATAAATTTATAGCAAATAGCATTTACCTTTTATCTTACACTACCTTGAAACTTATTTTTTTTTAGTGTACTATAATAACAGATTAAACAAGAAAACCATCTTAAAAGCAGTTGAAGAACACACTTCAAATACTTCAACATTATTCCTGATTAAAAAATACTTGGTAAGCTAAACACAGATGGACAGGCCTCTCTCTCTGCCTTAATCAGAAAGCTTCAACAAACATCAGGTTTGTTAAATACTAGAGGACTACCCAATGAAGTTTAACATAATAAAAAAGATAAGGATAAAAAACTTCTACTAACTCAACACTGTACTGAAAGACTGAACCAATGCTGTTTTTTTGCATCTTGTAGTATCTATATATTTAAAAACTAGTTTTCTTATGCATAAATTTCTTCTGAACATATTTGATGGGAAAAAGTAACATGGCTTTACTGAAAATCAAGTTCTATACAGAGAGATATACTATTTTGTTATGGGAGGACTTAATATTTCAAAATAATCAAAACAACCCAAAATATCTACCATTAAAGCAATGCAAGAAAAAATTTTAACTGTATTTTTTAACAGAACGAAAGGCTAATTCTAACTTCACAGAAAAAATGTTAAGAATTGCCACAAAAATATTATAAAAGGAGAACAATGAGAAGACTTGCCCTACCAAATACATGAAAAACTACAGAAATTAAAACAACGGGGGTGATTTTAGTGCAGGAGAAATAACAAATTAAAGTAATAGAACAGAGTCAAAAGAAATTCACGTGTATATGGTAATTTAGTCTACGATATAAAGGACATTTCATTTACTTCATGGGAAAAAGACAGGCTTTTCTACAAACGGCACTGGGAAAAGTGGCTGCCCATTTGGGATAAACAAATCTGACTTCATATAAAAAAATAAATTCCTGGTGACTCAGAAATAGATGCCTGCCCCTCCCAAAATTAAAATATAAAACAGTTAAAAGTTAAAGTATAAGAGAATATTTTCATAATATTGGGCTGGGGAAGGTATTCCCCAGCAAGAATCAAAATATAGAATACATAGATTTGACTACATCTACTTTTAAAAATTCAATAAGCAACAGAAAGTAACAGTCCAAGAGAATGTATTTCCAACATATGTAACATAGAATATATTTCCAACATTTGTATATTAATATACAGGGTCTATCAGCATGCTAATAAATCAATTTTAAAAAAGCAAAATGACATATAGAAAAATGGGATAAGCAATGAAGGAATACAAATTACTAATAAACATATGAAATATCCTGAACCTCATAATTAACCAAGGAAATGCACCTTAGCACAATAACATCTTTTTTTCTTGAGGATGCAACTAATAAAAATTTAAATAACTACAATATCCAGTATTTGCTAAAAATGTAGTAAAATAAAAATATTAAATAGAGTAATATAAACTTGTAAAAACCTTTTTTTACAAAGCAATTTGGCACTATCTATCAAAATGTCAAATGTGCACACCATACGACCTAGCAGCAAACCCAATGCTAGGAATCTATTCTAAGGAAATATTCACATGTGTACAAAAGATGGACCTATAAGCACAGTTAATTCTATGTCAAGGACAGAAAATGTACAAGACTGGTCTGGAACATCCCATTATATCAGATAGCAAGCTATCAAAGGCTGCTACAGCTATGTCCAAAGGACTCAGGAATCAACCTGAACAGGATGTCACTTGCCAAAGGTGTCACAATTTGAGCATCAATAAGATACTCAAAGGACTAAAACACATCAAATAGGTTTTAAGTCCATGAGTTCAAACTGGTAACTCCCCCAAAATTGTTCACCTTTAGAGGATAAAAGGAAACTAATCCCTTACTTTGAAAACTGGTAAATATAAGGAAAGAATAAAGTATTTATCCTGTCCTTCCTCTATGAATTATACTACTGGGTAACCAAATGGTAAATGGGGGAATATTTTCTTTATAGAACTATTCCAGTCACTATAATAAAAAAAGGAATGACTGGGGAGTGGGTGGGGGGGGAGGAATTACTGAATTGGAATATCACCATTCTGAAGTCCTTAATAAATTAATAGACCTAGGCATTAAGCACAAATGGCTGGTAAAACAACAGAGAAATAACCAGACATTAGCCTCCTAACAGAACAAAACACCACCACCCTTGAAGTTGTTCTGCCACTCTCCCAAAAAACACACCTGATTCTGATCCACTATATCCAATTAGCAATTCAAAAAATACAAACGAGAGAGGAACATGTTAAACTACACAAGGATGAAATCAACAAAAGCCCCGTTTCTTCAACAAATAAACTGATGAGACAAAAGAAAAAGAAAAAGAGGAAGGAAACTAGATTGAGACTTAAAAGGGATACCTAAACTTAAATCTTAAAAAAGGCCAAAAGTAAACTGAAGTATTAAAGGGTGTACACCTACTTGGGTGTATGAAACTATACAGAAAAGTAAGGAAGATTTCACCATAAAAGTATGGACATTAGAAAAACAGGCAAAGAACACAGCAAACCGAATATAATAGATGGCTCTTTAAAAAAAGTCTTCTCTATCAGCAAAGGAATAAGTTTTTAAATGTGCTAATATTCATCTATCAAATTCAAATCACACTAAGAATATATCTCTAAGAAATACGGATAGGTCAAAGATTTATGTTGTATCAGAATTTATATAAGAAAAATAAAAAGAGCCATCTCCAACAAGAGTACAGTAACAGTATGGGGGCCTTCATACAATTAAATATTCAACAATCATGAAAAAAATAAGCACTGAGATTTGGCAAACTGTTAGAAATAACCTACTGAAATTGATTACAGGCATTATCTTATGACTCATTAATTTCACTCCAAGGTATCTAGATCCCTAACAGAAACATGTAAACATATGTACCAAAATCCATATGAAAGAAGTCACAGCAGCATCATTCATATTAGCCAAAAGATAGAAACAACTTATGTGTCCATTAACTGATGAACAAAGAAAATGTGGGATATCCATACAACAGACGATTATTCAGCCATAAAAAGAAATGAAGGGCTAATACATGCTATACCACGAATGAACAGTGAAAACATTATGCTAAATGAAAGAAGAGATCACAAAAGGGCATATATTTTACGATCCCATTTCCATGAAATATCCATAACAGGCAAATCCACAGACACAGAGAGCAGATCAGTGGTGGCCAGGAGCTCGAGTCAGGGAGGAGTGGCTCAGGGTTTCTTTTTTGAGGCACAAAAATGTTCTATAAATATACTGAAACTCTATAAATATACTAATATGTAGTGAAACTCTATAAATATATTGAAAATCAATGAATTAAATCAATAAATAGAATTAAGTCAGGCATTTTGACAGGTTTCCCCACAAAGTTATACATTTCAAACATATAAATATAATGGTGCATGGAATGTTCTTTACCAGAGGTAAACAAATGAAAACCAGAATTATAATGTTACCTTTTCAATTTACAATGTTTCACCGTTGACTGGTTTCCACAGATCCATTAACTCTTTACCTCAATGAACACTTTAAAAAGGTCCATTAAGCAGAATTAAAGATCAAAGACACCAGTGGATGAACTGATAAACTAGAAATGGCAATGATTCTGTTGCTATGAAAGCAATTTAAAGCTAAAAGTGGAATAATTTATTACCATCATTCCTTAATTATCATAATATATAATTTGCTACAAAAATTTTAGTTTTAGCTACACATATCAGAATTTCTATTCAGTAGCTACAATAAAAAATTAAGTAGAGAGAAAGAGCATTGGGGCTCAACATCATTAACAAAGCAATAATAATGAGCTTTTAAATTACATAGTCATCCATGTGGCAAATTTTTTACCTGCAAATTGCCTTCCACAAGCAAGGTATCAAACTCCCAAATAATTTAAGTGAGCATTCTGAACATGCATTGGTACACACCTAATCTTACTCATGATACTTGTTCAAAAATGTTTGCAGAATTAGATATTAGTATAAAAACATCTTTAGAGAAGCAAAGTTAATGAGGGATATAATTGAAAAGGAGGCAAAATTACAACCATAAATTCCTTACTTTACAGTCAAGTAAGAGGCTCAATTAGGAAGCACAATACTATCTTATATTATAGGTAATATATAAAGGATTACAAGAGAATTTTCAAAACTTTTATTGTAGGAAGTTTTGGGGTTTTTTTGAGACAGGCTGATTATTCCTACTATATAAATCACGAGAGTGTAGGCAGGGAATTAATGGCATTCTGGTAACCAATCTGATTGTTCATAAAGGAATTTTTAAAAGTTGCAAATAATACTTGCTTTCATACACCAATTCAAGTATTACATGTCATGTCTATATGACATACTACTTAGGAATATTAAACAAGCATATTGAATCCGACCTTATTAAAAATGACGGCACTGTTATTATGTGAGTGAGATGTAGGATTTTTAGCATATAAAATCCTATCTTATGAATAATAAGCACTTACAAAAAACGGAAATAAACTTATAAAAGTCTGTATGCTTACCTGAACCACCCAGGGACTGTTGGCAAAGGCCATAATATCTCTCTCTTCCCAGAAAAAAGCAGAATCAGATCTTTTTATCATTTCAAACTTACTAAGAAGCTTCATAGCATAAACCTTCTGTGATGCCTTATGACGAACCTGTAGATTTATTAAAACACAAAAATAATTTTGTGAGAGAAAGGTGAACAACATATACTATAATTCTATCACTAAAGACTTCAGTTATAAAACAAAATGATCTTTAGCTAACTAATAAAAATAAAAGCATAACATTTTAATGGAAAAAAAGAAGAGAAAATTCCCAACAGCCTAAATATTTCATGAAATACACAATACCTTTAAATGCTAGGTTCCATAAATTCATAAAGCTTCATTCCTCCATGTTAATTAAGCTAACCAATTTTAAGAACAAGATATTGTTAAATGAGAAATTTTCAAGGTATGTACATGTATTGCTATCTGAACAGAACCTAATAAATTTAGATATCAAGGGATATTTGTGATTTTGTTAAGTCATCTTTATTTCTTTCAAACTATCCTACTTAAAAGGTTTTTTTATGTTAAGAAAAAAAAACTACCACCAACATGATTATTTGAGCAATTCCTTTTTTTTTTTTAAAGATTTTATTTATTTATTTGTCAGAGAGAGACAGAGTGCCCGTACACGCAGGGGGAGTGGCAGGCTGAGGGAGAAGCAGGCTCCCCGCTGAGCAAGGAGCCCAACGCGGGACTCAATCCCAGGACCCTAGGATAATTACCTGAGCCAAAGGCAGATGCTTAACCAACTGAGCCACCCAAGCATCCCTATTTGATCAATTCTTATCTTCCTTGTTAGATTATAACTTCCACAAGGGCAAAAACAGTATCTTTTTTTGACCATCATTTTAATCCTAAATATACCACAGCAAACTCTACCACAGAGCCAATAAATACCTAATGATTATAACTGTTAACATTTACTGAATAATTAATAATAAATACTGACTGCTAGCATTTATACTTGGATATCTAACAGGATGTCCAAAACTGAACTCCAAATCATCACCCCTGAATTTATTCCTCCTACAGTCTTCCCCATTTTAGTAAATGGCATCTTCTTCCTTCCAGTTAGTTGCTCTGGCTAAAAATCTTTGGCTCCTCTTTTTCTCTCACACACAGCTCATCAAACTCACCAGCAAATCATGTCATTCCTACCTTCAAATAGTTTCAGAATCCAATCATCTATAACTACCTCCACTGATAACAACACCCTGATCTAAATCTTTTATGTCCATTACCTACAATAACCTAAACTGCTTTCCCTGCTGTCACTCTCACCTACCCACAGTCTGGTGATCCTTCAAAAACATAAACCATTTCCTGTCACTCCTGTTTTAAAACCCCAATAGTTTCTCATTTCATCTCTGCATGTGTTATTCTCTCTGCCTGGAATCAGCCCTTAAAGCAGGACCCAATCCCTCACTGCCTTCAGATCCCTGCTCAGATGTTACCTTCTAAGTGAGGCCTACTCTGATCAAGCTACTTCAATTTTTCAATTTACAGCCACCCTTGGCTGCCCACATATTCCCTATTCCATTCCTTCTTCCTTGCTTTTGCTCTATTGCACTTATTACCATCTTATACCTTATTTTTTACTTTTATTTTATTATGTCTTGCACTAGAAATTAAGCCCAATGAAGGCAAGGATTTTTGTGTTTTGTTCACTGCTTAATACACAGTGCCTAGTAAAATGCCTGGCACATAATAACCTCTGAATAAATATCTGCTAAAAGAATGAATTTACTGAGTGGGCCTTACTGTATACCAGGCACAGTGTGTTTTCATAAATGTATTATTTAATCTTCGTAACAATCCTAATGAGGTATTACTTCCCCATGTTACAAATGAGAAATTTGAGGCACAGAGAAATTAACTTGCTGAGGGTTATACAATGAGTAGAAATCAAGATTTAAAGATACAGTAGTCTGGGGCACCTGGGTGGCCAGTTGGTTGTGTCAGACTCTTGGCTTCAGCTCAGGTCATGATTTCTCGGTCGTGAGACAGAGCCCTGTGTCAAGCTCTGTGCTCAGCATAGAGTGTGCTTGAGATTCTCTCTCCTCCCTCCCCCCCCACCCCTTCCTGTGCACTTGCTCTCTCTCTCTCTCAAATAGATAAATAAAATCTTTTTTAAAAAAATTAAAAATGAAGGTACAGTAGTCTGCATCCAGAATCCATGCTAGTAACCACTTATCTATGCCATTTCTACATATGTACAGCCACTATTAGGATGATTTCCCCAGAACAGGGCCAGATTACATTGGTCAGCACAGTCTTCCATTCAGTTACTGCTCTGTTTCACTCAGAAGTATGCCATTATTTGTACAACAAATTATATGGTCATCCTACTGAGGGCTGGATGAAAGAAGAGACAATTGAGTTCCTGACAAAAATCTACAGAGATCTAAATGATCTAGCCTATAACCATCTTCCCAATTTAAATCTTGTCATTTTCTTTCCCTTGTTCATACTTCAACCATACTTACCACCTTCTTTCAGTTCCTCCAATATACCTTTCCTCAAGATCGTTACAAGTACTGGGAATGTAACAGAAAATCCATCACAGTCCCTGACTTCACCTCTTCCACAGAGAGACTAGCTCCTTCATTCAGCTGAAATATAAACTCTCAAAGGAGTGACCACTCTATCCAAAGCAGGAACTCATTGTTCTCTACCTCAGAATTCCATTTGTTTTCCTAGCAGATACCATAACTTGTGATTTTTTTTATGTTGTTTCCTTGTATTTGTCTATCTCCCACATTAGAATATAAGTTCAACAAAGTGAGGGATTACCCATGCCCATTTTATTCTCTATTATATCCTCAGTGTCAAATACAATGCCAGCACTAGCAATTAAAACAGATACTAAATATTTGATGAATTAATGTCTGTGAAAAAAAATTTTTTTCTATTAATTTGCTATTAATTTGCAGTTTTAAGAAAAATCCAACAGGTAATATTTCTAGTTCTCTCTCATCAAGTACTGTGCACATTTAGAATCAGTACTTATATTGATGAAAATAAGGTAAACCAAAGGAATGCTCATGTCCTCCCCAGAGAAGATATGTAAGAACCATCATACTTTACAGATCAGATATTGTATAAAATGAAACAAAATTTTAGAAAAATCATACAATGCTGTACCTTTTTAATAGAGAGATTTTTCCTCCTAACAATTCCCAGAATTTTATTTGTTATATGGACTTGAGCAAATCACTCACAGAAAAAGGTCTTAGCATTAAACAATAAAGATATATACTCCAAATCATGCATCTTTGGCTATGATACAGAAACTGATACCAACTAGCCCTCACACTGTAAACAACAATCAAAATGGCAAAATATATGAAGCAACAGTTTTCAGGCTTGGTAAATTAGGCAGTACAAGACTATAATCCCTGAGAGGAGAAAAACTCACCAAGTCAACCCCCATAACTGCCCAGACACTCTGCTTGAAGGCAATATCCCAACCAGCATACAAGTGATCATCTAAGCTAAGTACAGTGGTCCTGCTGAATTGAGAAGGCAGAGATCACAGTTCAAGAAAAATGAGGTAGCTGGATTATGCTGGGCAGGAAACAGGAACTTAAAGAGCTATGAAAAAGGTCTCTACAAGTACCATATGAGTCCTTTGCCAAGGGCTGGACTATCCAAAGAGAAAGTACCCAAAGTTTACCAGGGATCAACTGCTCTGGGCTTGATAACAAAACAGAGACACTGGAGGTTAAATAACATTAGAACAACAATCAACTTCCAGCCGAACAAGAATGGAGAAACCTTGCTATTTCCTGAGCATTCAGGTGAGACAGCTTAGGAGAAAGAACCATGCGCTAAAGCAAGAGGTTCTAGTACTATCTAACAAAGCCTAGTAATGTCAATCCCTAAAAGATCAAAAGGGGAGCAGAGTTTGGAGGTTCAGTCCTACCAGTTAAAAGGACTTGGAAAACAACTTGGTTTTTTTGCACAAAGTATAAAATTCAGTGTGCACAAGTTAAGGGTGATCATCAGGTAACTGGACAGATTATTAGAATGAAAATCAACACATCAAGGAAAAGTAACAAACTAACAAAAAATCTCTATCATATATCTGTAAGGATCAATATATATTTTAAAAAATATTTATTGGGGCACCTGGGTGGCTCAGTCGGTTAAGTGTCTGCCTTCGGCTCGGGTCATGATCCCAGGGTCCCGGGATGGAGTCCCACATTGGGCTCCCTCCTCAGCGAGGAGCCTGCTTCTCCCTCTCCCCCTGCCACTGCCCCTGTTAGTGCTCTCTCTCTCTGTGTCAAATAAATTAATAAATGCTTAAAAAATAATCTAGGCATTTAAAAAATAAATAAGTAAATAAAAATTACTTATTAGGCACAAAAGGAAAGTGCGACTCATCATCAAGAAAAAAAGCAGTCAACAGAAAACAACCCCCAAAACACTGACCTTAGCTAACAAATACTTTAAATATCTCTTACAAATATGTTGGAATAACTAAAGGAAAATATGTTAAAGAAAAAAAGGAAAAAGTCACAATGAGTGAATACAGGAAAATATCAACAGAGAAATACAAACTGTAAAAAAGAAACTAGAATTTCTTTAACTGAAAAATAACAAAAATGAAAAATTCATTAGAAGGGCTTAATAAAGAATGGAGACAGAAGAGAAGTCTGTGAACCTGAAGACAAATCAATCTGAAGAATAAGGAGAAAAACAAATAAATGAAAATGAAACAGTGACCCCGGGGCCTGAAAAGCAATTAAACAGTATAAAATATGGGGAAATATAAATAGACTAAACACTCCAATTCATAAACAGAAATTATCAGAATTGATTAAAAAAGCAAAACCTAATCTCATATATTTTAAATATTAAGATCAAATAGATTAAAAATAAAAGGACAGAAAAAGATGTACCACACAAACAGCAAGGATAAGAAAACTGACAGAGCAATATTAGTAACAGATAAAGTAGACTTCAAAGCAAAGAAAAAAGGGGGGGGTAAATGCAGATAAAAGGAGTAAAATTCACCAGTAAGGCATAAAAATTCTAAATATGTATGCATCTAATAAATGAGCTTTAAAATTCATAAAACAAAAAATGACAGAACTAAA